TCCGGCCGCGCTCGGCAGCAGGTAGGGTGTGCGTGTGTGGCGTGGTGGCCCTGGCGCCATCCGCCGCCATCCGCCGCCATCCGCCGCCCTGGGGCCCGCTAGGGACCCCGGCGGGCCTTCGGAGAGGGAGTGCGCTGGGGTCGGGACCTGGAGGGAGGCTGCTGGGGAGCTGGGACCCTGAAGCCGGGGTGGCGGGGGTGCCTGGGCCGCTTGGGCGCTGACCGTGAGCCACCCGCAGACCGCCATGGGCCGTGTCATCCGTGGGCAGAGAAAGGGCGCCGGCTCGGTGTTCCGCGCGCACGTGAAGCACCGTAAGGGCGCCGCGCGTCTGCGCGCCGTGGACTTCGCCGAGCGGCACGGCTACATCAAGGGCATCGTGAAGGTGCGGGGAGCCCCCCTCCCCGGGCGGGCGGGGGCTCGGTGGCCCCGCGGGGACCTGCCGCTCACGCGCCCTCGGCCCGCAGGACATCATCCACGACCCGGGTCGCGGTGCACCCCTCGCCAAGGTCGTCTTCCGGGATCCGTACCGGTTTAAGAAGCGAACGGAGCTGTTCATCGCCGCCGAGGGCATCCACACCGGCCAGTTCGTGTACTGCGGCAAGAAGGGTGAGCCTCGTGAGGGAAGGTCGGGTGCAGAGGGAACGGCCGCTTGCGCGAGGAGGCCCGTCCAGGCGGAAGTCTCTCGTGGTGCGGCCGGTTTGCCTGCACCTGCCGGCTGGGTCGCCCAGGCCGCTGGGGGGGGGCCGGACGCGGGGTGCCGTGCGGGGCTTTCTGCGTGGCCGGGCGGCGCTGACCTGCGGCGCTTCTCCTTGCAGCCCAGCTCAACATAGGCAACGTGCTCCCGGTGGGCACTATGCCCGAGGGCACTATCGTGTGCTGTCTGGAAGAGAAGCCTGGTGACCGGGGCAAGTTGGCCCGAGCCTCCGGAAACTATGCCACTGTAATCTCCCACAACCCGGAGACCAAGAAGACCCGAGTGAAGCTGCCCTCCGGCTCAAAGAAGGTCATTTCTTCCTCCAACAGAGCTGTGGTCGGTGAGTGGCCGGCAGCCGCGGGATGCTCTGTGCGGTGCGTTGCTGGTGAACGTCACCAGCTAGACCCCGGCTAGTATCTGTGAGGTGGGCGTCACTGGCCGGGAGTTGAGTGAGGCTGGGACTGGGGCTTGTTAGGCAGCCTTGTCTGTAGTCAGGCATGATGCGGACTTCCACGATTCATACTCCGCATCCACAGGGGTTAGTAGTCTGTCTTTTCGTGGATATGTGACTTTAAGCTACCTAGTGAGTGCCTTGAGGAGGATTTGAAACCTGATTTTTTCATGTGGTGCTACGACAACACCTTTGAAACAAACCCAAGGAATGTTTGTTCTGTTTTTTCCTTCCTCTTTCTCCCTCTTTCTTCTATTTTTTATTTTTTTAAGATTTTATTTATTTATTTGATAGAGACACAGCAAGAGAGGGAACACAAGCAGGGGGAGTGGGAGAGGGAGAAGCAGGCTTCCCGCCGAGCAGGGAGCCCGATGCGGAGCTCGATCCCAGGACCCCGGGATCATGACCCGAGCCAAAGGCAGACGCTTAACGACTGAGCCACCCAGGCGCCCCTTCTTTGATTTTTTAAAAGATTTGTTTATTTGAGGGGCACCTGGGTGGCCAGGTCTGCTTTTGCCTCAGGTCATGATCCCAAGGTCCTGGGGTCAAGCCCAGCTGCAGACTGCCTGCTCAGTGGGGAGTCTGCTCTTCCTCTCTGCACCCTCCCAATGCTCGCTCTCTCAAATCTTTAAAAAAAAAAAAAAAAAAAGATTTGAGAAAGTGCATGCATGAGAGGGGTAGAGGGAGAGAATATTCAAGCAGACTCCCCACTAGAACCTATAACCCATGAGATCACGACCAGAGCCAAGAGCTGGATCCTTAACCGAACCGACTGAACCAAACCGGGCCACCCAGGTGCCCCAGCCAAGGAATGTTCTTGAGCGTATGTTGAAGCAACACTGGTTGAGATGTGTGTGACAGACTGAGTCAGCCTTTTTGCTGGCATTTGAGGTTGGATTGAGTGACCTGCTTGGTGAGACGGGGTAAAGTAGGGGGGCTTCCCTGGAGAGAACCATAGGTCGAGAAAGCCATTGCAGATGGTATGGGCAAAGGCCTGGCTTGGCTGCCCCAGCAATCTTGAAGAAACTTGATGTCATCTGCTAGGCTGCAAAGGCATTTACTGCTTGGTGGTAGTTGAGAAGATGTTAGTGAGATTTTGGGAACCTCATGATGGTGTGTGAGTAAAGTGAGAGGGTGATCAGTATGGGGGTGGGGCACTGGTAAGGATGCTCTGCCTGATAGGGTCCTGAAGTTTAGGGAAGGTATGGTGCACTTTCCTGAGGTGCCTGATCTTCCCAACAGGTGTGGTGGCTGGAGGTGGCCGCATTGACAAGCCCATTCTGAAGGCTGGCCGTGCCTACCACAAGTATAAGGCAAAGAGGAATTGTTGGCCACGTGTGCGGGGTGTGGCCATGAACGTAAGTAGCCCAGAAATGGGCAGTTGGGGTGTTCAGGGATTGGGGACTGGGAGGCTAGATGGACCAGTCTTTTCCTGGAGTGTCTCCCTTCTGTGACAGAGGGTCTGGGTTATGGTTTGTTGGCACAGGTCAGTTATCCCGCTCTTATCCAGGTCCTGAGGTAGGTGGGTCCACACTCCTATATTAATGCCACCTTTTTCTGTCTGCAGCCTGTGGAGCATCCTTTTGGAGGTGGCAACCACCAGCACATCGGCAAACCTTCTACTATCCGCAGAGATGCCCCTGCTGGCCGCAAAGTGGGTCTTATTGCTGCCCGCCGGACCGGGCGTCTCCGGGGAACCAAGACTGTGCAGGAGAAGGAGAACTAGGGCTGAGGGCCTCAATAAAGTCTGTCCTGTCACTAAGCTGTGTTTGCCCATGGTTTCAGAGGGAAGGATCCTTGCTGGGAGGACTGCCATGGAGCTTTTGGTGTAGGAAGGAGAAAAAGTTGGATGCACCAGTGAATAGTGAAAGCTCTGGAGAGAAGGGATGGGGGTGCTAGGTATCTTCACACTTTGATTTCTGGAACACCTCCCCCTCCCCCGACACCAGCACAGGGAGCAGAGGATCTCACTGACATCTGCATTAATTTCTCTTGGGCACTTGGGGGATCTGGGAGAGGGTGTGGATGCCTCAGGATGAGAGTGGTGCTCCTGAAGCCACAGGTTGGAGAGCCAGGAAGCTGTTTTGCAGTGGAAGGACCAGGACGGAGTCAGACTAGTTTCTCAACAAATGGGCTTCCTGTTTCTGTCCATGGTACCTTGTTCCAAACTTAGGCTCGTCAAAACTGGTAAAACCAGGGCAGATGCTGCTGAGCCAATGAGGCATAGAGATGTTAGTGGAGGTTCATTAGTGCCTCGGGACCGGGACGCTTTGCTTCCCAGCGGCCACCCAGAGTCCCCTGCCCCAGTGGTTCCCCTCATGAGCCAGTGCGAAAGTAGGGGCTGCAGGCCACTGTGCCAAAATAATCACAGAGACCAGAAGGTTGGGGGACTGGGACGCCCGAGTGGCTCAGTCGGTTAAGCGGCTGCCTTCAGCTCAGGTCATGATCCAGCATACTGGGATCAAGTCCAGCATCGGGCTCCTTGCTACGCAGGGAGTCTGCTTCTCCCTCTGCCTGCCGCTCCCCCTGCTTGTGCTTGCTGTCTGACAAAAAGTTGGGGGACAACAGAGGTAAGTGGCTGGCAGAGGTAGAATGCCCCTTGTTCAGATTGCAGGTGGAAAGGCAGTGGACCCAGAGTTCCTGGAGACCATCTCCCTGAGAAGGATTTTCTGTGGCTGCCACGTAGCTCCTTGCTGTCAGGGTCCACACTTGTCCCTAGTGTGAACCTTGCCATTCTGGTCTCCAGTTGACCATCCACCACAGCCTAGGTGTGGTGGAGGAAATAGGAGGGGCTGGGCTTGGTTCTCTGGACGAAGATGACCTGGCCATCAGGGAGGGTTTGCTCCAGTAGCAGGCACCCAAGGAAGCCCTAGCCCCTAGAGTGGACCCTGCTCCAGCTGGGCCTGGGTTCGGTGTGCTAAAACAAAGTGGCCAGTAAGCGACCTCTTTCCTGGTCATCCCATGGCTTCTCTACCCAACTCTAAAGGGACTGATACTTTTTTGGCTGCAGTGCCTTTAGCGGCTCCCTAGAGCGAGGTTTCCACTGAAAATCAAAGCTGCTCACCCCGCCTCCGTTCTGGAGCTTCGGGGTTGTGGTTCCAGACTGCCACCTAGTGGCGGCACACCCGACTTGCGACACCGTACGTCCCATTCCTCAGGGAGGCTGCCTACCGAGACATGAAGTCCTTTCCTAGAGCGGCCAGAGGGTGCCTCCGGTTAGGACGCGGGGTGAGGGCGTCACTTCCGGTTGGATTCGATTGGCGCGGCGGGTGGGGCTCGCGGGGCCTGGCCCGGCGGCGGCTCTTCTGCGGCGCTGAGGTGAGTGTGGGCCGGGCCGGGGCGGTGGTGACCGCGAGGTCTCCCGGGCGCGGGGCACCGGCCCTTCCCTGTAACCGCCGAGATGCTCCGTCCGGGGCCCGCCCCGCGCTCGGCAGTATCTCTCGCCCCGGCGTCTGTCGGGCGGGCCCCGTCTCCACTCTCGGAGCCCCCTCGACGAGCGCGGTCCCCGCTTCGTGGTTTCCGACGGGCCCCGAGCCCCAACTGGTGCCCTCCCCAGCCCGGCGTCCGCTGTCCGCCTGCTCCGGCCCGGGGTTGTTCCTGCCGGGCCCCGGCCCCGCCCGAGAGCCTTCCTCCCGGGTCTCCCCGCCGGATTCTCTTCCCAGGTCGTCCCGAGGGGCTGCTTCTGCGTCCCGGGCTGCCCGGGACCCTCAAGGCCTGGTGACCCGAGGCCCTTGGCCTTCCCGGCGCCTCTCCACCCGGCAGGCGGTCACCAGCTCTCCACACTCAGCCCGCCACCGCAGCCCCAGCAGGAGCCGGGCTTTTCCCTCGCTTCTGGGTCCAGGTTGTACTCCCCACTCTGCCCCAGCCCTCCACCGCCCCATTTCCGCCCTCACCTGGTCTCTGGCTTGGAGCAGTTAATGCCCAACACACTTTCTTGTCAGCTCTTAATTAATCGTCTTCCGCATTTACCGCCCCCATCCCGTGCCGCCTGCAGTTGCTGTGCTTCCTCTTGCCTTTAGCAGTTCCCAAAATTGCGTGTACCTTCCTGCTTTCCCACCCTTTTTTGCTTCTGATGCTCCAAGGCCTTTCCCTCAGCAGCCAGATTTTTGTTTTTTTCTTTAGAGGCCTTTATTCAAGGTCTGACACTGTAGACTTTCTTTTTTAAAGATTTTATTTATTTATTTGAGAGAGAGAGAGCACATGAGAGGGGGGAGGGGCAGAGGCAGAAGCAGACCCCCTGCTGAGCAGGGAGCCCGATGCGGGACTCGATCCCGGGGCTCCAGGATCGTGACCTGAGCCGAAGGCAGTCGCTTAACCGACTGAGCCACCCAGGCGCCCGACACTGTAGACTTTTTAAATTAAAAATGCACCGTGTCTTTGTTTTGAAAATACGTTAAAAAAAAAAAAACTTTTAGAGAAAACTTTAAAGTACAGAGAACGGATTACCAAACACTAGTGACTGGGTTTGCCGCACGTAAAGATTGTAGTTAAGGCGTGCCTGGGTGGCTCAGTTGGTTGAGCGTCTACCTTTGGCTCAGGTCATGATCTCAGGTTCCTGAGATCGCGTCCCAGGTCGGGCTCCCTGCTCAGCCGGGAGCCTGCTTCTCCCTCTCCCTCTGCCCCTTCACCCTTCTCCTGCGTGCTCTCTCTCTCTCAAGTAAATAAAACCATAAAGAAAGAAAAGATTGTAGTTAAAAACAAAACAAAAGCAGGGGTGCCTGGGTGGCTCAGTCGGTTGGGCGTCTGCCTTCGGCTCAGGTCATGATCCCCGAGTCCGGGGATTGAGCCCTGCGTCGGGCTTCTACCCCACTTGTGCTCTCTAGCTCTCTCTCTGTCTCTCAAATAAATAAATAAAATCTTTAAAAAAGGCAAAACAAAAACATATATGTAATCTCTGTGGCCAACGTGGGGCTTGAACTCACCACTCTGAGATGAACACTCACATGCTCTACTGACTGAACCAGCCAGGCACCCCCCTCAACTTTTTTAAAGAAAGCTGTTGAAACAGAATTGCTCTTAGATGCAAGCTCACCAGTCCCATTTGCTTCCCTAAGCAACCCTTATTTTGAACAACCGCATTTTTGTTTGTTTATTTTTATTGAGGTGTAATTGATAAACAGGAATTCTATAAATTTTAGGTGTACACTTACGGTATATGTGTTCGTTGTGAAATAATCACATTCAATCTAATTAGCATGTTCATCATCTCACATAGGTACCATTTTCTTTTTTTGTTTTCTTTGTGGTGAAGATATTTAATATCTATTCTCTTAGGAAATTTCGAGGTTACAATACCGTATTGTTGACTGTAGTCGCAGTGCTGTACTTTAGATCTCCACAACTTTCATCTTGCATACCTGAAAGTTTGTACTCTGACCGACCTCTCTCCCATTTTCCCCAACTCTCAAAACTTGGCAGCCAACCATTCCACTTTCTGCTTCTATGATTTGGACTCTCTTGGGTACCACATATCAGTGAAATCATGTAGTATTTGTCTTTCTGTGTCTGGTTTATTTCACCTAGCATAATGTCCTCCAGGTTCATCCATGTTGTAGCAAATGGCAAGATCTCGTTCTTCATGGCTGAGTAGTAGTCCATTGTGTGTATATACCACATTCTGTATCCATTCATCTATCGTTGGACACTTAGGTTGTTTGCACATCTTGTCTATTGTGAATAATGCTGCAATGAGCATGGGAGTGCTGGTCTCTCTTTGAGGCAGTGATTTCATTTCCTTTGGCTAGTATAACCAGAAGTGGGATTACTGGATCATGTAATTACTTGAAACATAGAGAATACATATTTTTCCAGATATATATTCAAAACTATTAGAAAACACCACAAACCACGCCAACAACGACCTAAATAAATGGTATTTTGGTTCTATTTTCAACTTTTTGAGGCACCTCCACGCTTTTCCACAGTGCATTTCCACCAACAGTGCACAAGGGTTCCTTTTCTCCACATCCTTGCCAACACTTATCTTTTGCTTTTTGATAATTCTCGTTCTGACAGGTGTGAGGTGATAGCTCATTGTGGTTTTTATTTGCAGTTCTCTAATTAGGTTGAGCACCTTTTCACTTACCTGTTAGTCATTTGTATGTCTTTTATGGAGAAATTTAGGTTCCTTGCCCATTTTAAACCCATTGGGTTTTTTTTTTTTTCTCTTGAGTTGTGTGAGGTCTTTATATATTTTAGATCTGAATTTCTAATCAGATACATGGTTTGCACATATTTTCTCCCATTCCTCAGTTGCCTTTTCACTCTGTTATTTTGCTGTCAGCACATTTTCTTACACCTCTACACACCTACTAGTGTTTTAAAATCTACATACATAATATAATATTGATATTTTACATTTAACCGTTTCACTCAGCCTTAAAGCTTTGCGCTGCCTCTGACATTGATGTGGTTCATTTCTTCCGACCACTGTGACCTTGACTGTTCCCTGATGATGGATATTGAGGTTGTTTCCCTTTTTTTCTTATACACAGGCACATGGTGACATTCTGGTGTATTTTCTTGTGTTCATTAGCAAGAGTTTCTGTAGGGCACATACCTAGAATTAGGTGTCCTGACTGAATTTGCAGGGTTAAAGTTCTGCCAGGTGGTGCCAGATGGGTTTCCAGAGTGACTGTACTAGTTTCCTATAGGACTCTGAGAATCTCTATTTTCCCTTATGTCTTCAACATTTGCTATTGTGAAGCATTTTATGTGTCCCCCAGTCTATGGGGAGAGAAGTCTTGAATTTGCATTTCCTTAATTCTCAATGATGTTGAAGATCTTTTCAGATTTTTAAAAAAGATTTTACTTATTTGAGAGAGAGAGAGCATGAGGGGGGAGGCCAGAGAGAGAAGCAGACTCCCCGCTGAGCAGGGAGTCCGATGCAGTCCCAGGACCCTGAGATCATGACCTGAGCTGAAGGCAGACGCTTAACTGACTGAGCCACCCAGGTGTCCCTCTTTGATCTCATTATCTGATTTCCCAAGTCATCCTGTGTTCATTTTTCAAATAAATGGTCTTTTTTGGTGCACTTTAAAACATATTTTGTAGATCTTTTTTTATGTGTTAAGTATTTTTACAAATATCGTTCACTCTTTTAAAAGCTTGTCTTTTAATATTGTGGTGTCTTGTACAGAAATTTTTGGAGTAAAATTAAACAATTTTTTCCTTGATGTACTGTATTTTGCATATTATTTTCTTATAACAGCTATAAATTTTATTTTAAACACTTAGGTCTTCAATGTGCTTAAAATATATTTTTGTGTGCCGTAGAAGGCAGCGATTGAATTTTACTTTCCTATGGAAAATCCGTTGTGTTGGTACCATTTTGAATAGCGTGCCATTATGTCCTTAGCATATACACGGATCTGGATGTTCCTTACTTTCTTTACTATGCTCCAATCTCACTTTTGTTAACGTAGCCTTACAGTAAGTCTTGCTATGGATCTAGGTGTTCCCTATTTTCTTTACTATGCTCCAATCTCACTTTCATTAACGTAGCCTTACAATAAGTCTTGCTATGTGGTAGGGCGTGCCTCTGCCTACCTTAGTTCTTTTTTGGCATTGCCTTAGTTAATCTTGGATCATTATTATGATACTGAGTCATTTTGTTCAGATTTCATGTTATGTCCTGTTGTAATTTTGATTGTACAGAATTAATAGATTTATTTGGGGAGAATTGACTTTTTTTTTTTTAAGATTTTATTATTTATTTGCAAGCGAGAGAGAGAGAGAGAGCGAGCGCACAAGCAGGGGGAGCAGTAGGCAGAGGGAGAAGCAGGCACCTCGCCGAGCAAGAAGCTGGATGCGGGACTCGATCCCAGGACCCTGGGATCATGACCTGAGCTGAAGGCAGATGCTTAACAACTGAGCCACCCAGGTGTCCCGAGAATTGACATTTTTATGATACTGAGTTCTCCTGTTTATGAACACTGTTTTTCCATAGGTCTTCTTGATGTCCTTCCATAAAGTTTTATCATTTTGTCCCCAGGGTCTTGGACCGCACTCTGATAACAACTGTTGCTGCATGTATGGTATGTAGAATTATGTCCCCTTTTTTGTTCTTAATATTTCTTTTTCTATCTCTTTTCTGCCCACCCCCCATTGGACTTGCCAGATGTTTGTGTGTTTTATTAGCAATGTTGAGATTATGTTTTGTTTCTTTAAATCAAGTATTCTTTATTTTCCTCCATTTTTTCTTGAATCACTTTTCTTAGTCTGTGTCTAATTTCTTATTGAATGTTTAGATCATTTATTTCAGTCTCTCTTGTGCTAAAATAAGGGCACTAAGAAGGCACATTTTTCCTTAGGTAGCCTCTGTTTCCATTTCTGTGTTTTTCTTGGAGGGGGTACTTTTTATTATTTTTTTTTAAAGATTTTCTTTATTTATTTGAGAGAGAGCATGCATGAGTGGGGGGAAGGGCAGAGGGAGAGGGAGAAGCAGAATCCCTGCTGAGCAAGGAGCCTGACTTGGGGCTCCATTCCAGGACCCTGAGATCATGACCTGAGCTGAAGGCAGACACTTCACCGACTGAGCCACCCAGGCTCCCCTGAGGTGGTACTTTTTTATCATATATTTCCAGCATAACAACAGTGGTCAGAGAATGTTTTGCTAAATGTTATTAGTCTTTGGAATTTGTTGAAACTTTCGTTGTTGGCATGGTCTGTGGTGTTTTCTAATAGTTTTGAATATATATCTGGAAAAATGTGTATTCTCTATGTTTCAAGTAACTATTCTCTACTTGTTCCACTTGTTTCTGAGGGAAGTGTGTTGAAATCTCTCATTCCAGGGGAGGTTTGCCAGTTGCTCTTTGCTACTTCACTTAGCATTGGCTTTCTACATTTTGAGTTTCTTGGTAGATACACACTTGTCTGTAATTATAGCTTCTGGGTGGATTTTCCTTTTATTAATATGTATTATTCATTTTTGTTCCTATTAATGATTTTTACTTTCTGTTCTGTTTTGATTGGTATACATACTGCTAAACTACACATAGCAATGCATGTTAAGCTCAGAAGCATCACGATGAAGGGAAGAAGCCAGAGGAGTGTAGACAGCATAGTTGCTTTGATAAAGTTCACCAGAAGCACAGCTGGTGGAAGTCAGGATAGAGGCTCACCTTTGGGAGTTCAGGAAGGAAGTAGAGCCTGCAGGGGCAGGAGGGCTGACGTGGGTGCTGGTTCTATGGGAATGGGCCCTTTGTGACTGCCCCTTGAGCTGTGTGTTCAGGATTTGTCAACTCTTCTGCATAAATGTCATATTTCAATAAAGAGTGTTAAAGGTAAAGAAAATGTAGGGGCGCCTGGTCCGTTAAGCCTCTGCCTTCAGCTCAAGTCGTGATCCTGGGGTCCTGAGATTGAGCCCCACGTCTGGCTTCCTGCTTAGCGGGGAGTCCGCTTCTCTCTCCCTCTGCCCCTCCCCCTGCTCTTGCATGCATGTGCTCTCTCTCTCTGTCTCTTAAATGAATAAATTACATCTTAAAAAAAAAAAGAAAAGGTATATAGCTACTATTTATTTTAATTAGCGTTTGTGTGGTCTAGCTTATATTCAGCCTTTCTGTGTTACTTTATTTTAGGTTATGCAGGTGCATTTTGTGTGTATCTATCAGAGAATCTTGTGCTTCTAGTAGGTGAGTTTAATCCTTTTATTTCTTACCATTACTCAGCTACTGAACTTGTTTCTATAGTGTTGTATATTTTACCATCTGTACTTTGACTTTGTTCTGTACCTTCTGTTGATTTTTTTTTTTCCTTCTCTTTCTCCTCAACACTTAACAAGTTGTCTTTATTCTTTCATATAAAGTGAATGAGTATCGCCATCTTACTCCTGAAAGAGACAGCTTGGTGTGTCAGGTTGAGGGGAACAGATGGCCTGAAGAGCTGTGCACCTGTGCCTGCAGTGGGGCAGAGTAGGGCAGGGCAGCCCCAGGCAGGGAGCGGAGTCTGCCCGGGAGACCAGCTGTGCCCCGATGGGGATGAGTGTGGCTCTGAAGTTGCCCATAGGAGGGGCCAACCTGGGCCTCCATGTGTTCCCCTCTCTTCCCTCAGCACCAGTGTGACTCACTGCTGACTCCTCCCCTGGGAAGCCCAGGGTACCAGGTGATGGCGGCTTTGCACCTGTCTGCCCTGCCCCAGGTGAGCATCCATTTTCCCTAGATGTCTGAAATCTCCACACAGGGCTTCCCTGCCTGCTCTGCCTTAGTAGACACTGTCAGGCATCTTGGTCTGGGGTATTGAGCAGAGGACGGGTGACCCTGGGACTCCCCCAGCCTTCTGGAGTCACTGGCTTCATGACCAGGGGCTCAGGCCACTCTCCTGGGCCGTACTGGGGGATCGTGCCTGTAGTCACCCTTGTGCTACTACTCCTGGTATGTTCTGCTGCTCCCGCCCCCAGGGCCCACCCTGAGCCACACCTGGGCCTGCAACAGCCCCTGTCATTCCAGGCTGAGGTGACCTTCGAGGACGTGGCCGTGCTATTCTCCCGGGAGGAGTGGGGCCGTCTGGGCCCTGCTCAGAGGGGCCTCTACAGGGATGTGATGCTGGAGACCTACAGGAATCTGGTCTCCCTGGGTAAGGCCCCTCACTAGGATGCTGGTCAGGGAACAGCCCTGGGGACTGATGGTTCAGCAGGGGCTGGGCTGGGGGCTTCACCCTCTGGTCCTAGGCAGTCCTGGTCTATACAGAGGAGGGGCCAAGTAGGGCTGGTTCAGTGATTTTCTCCTCTGAGCTCCCAGATAAGACGGCCTCCCTGCCCCAGGCCCAAGACAGACCCCTCTCCAGAGGGATTGCGTACCTCCAGGTGGAGAGAGCCCCCTGGGCTTTTGTTCCCTGTGCTCAGATCTCATCTTCACGACCATCCCCAACCCTCCAGAGTGTCCAGACTTCCCATCACCCCACTTTGCCTGTGGTTCTGCTTCCCACCAGAGTCCCAGATGAGAATCCACTCAGTGCAGCCCTGCATCCTTGGCACCAACCCTAGGCCCCGTTTTCTTCCCAGGAGCTGGACCTGCAGGTCCCAAGCCTGGGGTGATCACACAGTTGGAGCAAGGGGATGAGCCGTGGGTCCTGGATGCACAGGGCGCCAAGGGGAAAGAGCGACTGAGAGTCAGTATCTCAGGTGCGTGAGGGGGGCCACTTCCCTAACAGTTGCTGGCTAAGCATTTGTCAGGATCCAAGATGTGTGGTTAATGACTCAGGCATTTAGAACAAGGTATATCAGGAGCAGCATGACAACCCTGGGAGTAGCCTGTGCTGAAGTCCAGGTCCCCTCCATCAGCCTGGGTGCCTCAGTGTGGTGATTCTTTTTTTTTTTTTTTTTAAAGATTTTATTTATTTATTTGAGACAGAATGAGAGAGAGCATGAGAGGGAGGAGGGTCAGAGGGAGAAGCAGACCCCCCGCCGAGCAGGGAGCCCGATGCGGGACTCGATCCTGGGACTCCAGGATCACGACCTGAGCCGAAGGCAGTCGCCCAACCAACTGAGCCACCCAGGCACCCCTCAGTGTGGTGATTCTTGAGCTGAATCTTCTAGGAGGGTGAGAGGGGGCATTGTTGGCAGAGGAGAAGAGGGAAGTCTGGACCCCCAGGACCCCATGGAGCCCTGCCCTGCAGAGCTCATGCCCTGTGAGGAGGGTCAGATGGGGCCATGTTGATAGAGACCATTGCTTCATTCTCCTTTTCTAAATTATCCACTTGACAATTGTAGACCGTTACAAGAAAGAATATCTCATCACCCACATACCAGTGTGTTCTGTCGTGTGCCTGCTAGCCCCTTTCTAGTGCTCTCTGTTCTACACCCATATACGAAGGTCACTTCTTTTTTTTTTAAAGATTTATTTATTTATTTATTTATTTATTTATTTATTTGACAGAGAGAGACAGTGAGAGAGGGAACACAAGCAGGGGGAGTGGGAGAGGGAGAAGCAGGAGAGGGAGAAGCAGGCTTCCCGCAGAGCAGGGTCGGGCTCGATCCCAGGACCCTGGGATCATGACCTGAGCCGAAGGCAGATGCTTAACGACTGAGCCACCCAGGCGCCCCACGAAGGTCACTTCTTGACAGGAATGCAGCGATCCCATGTGTACTGCTGTCATCTCCTCATCTCCTTTTTCACTCAGTGAGTGTCCGTTTTTATACACATGAGTCTCAGTCACCACTTTTGCTGGAAGTGCCAGTGGGAAGGGTGCTGTCTAGTTTCATTGCTATGGACAACTCCAATAAGCATTATTTTGCACGTCTTGATAATGTCCTAAGAAGCATCTACTGGTTAAAGGACTTGAATTTCTCTTTTGTAAATTTGTTTATTCAGATATCAATACTTAAAGAACCAGGATAAATCCTAAGTTTATAACTCAGTGAGTTTTTATAAAAACCATCTTCCAAATCAAAATGCAGAACATTTCTAGTTCCCTGGGAACCCACTGGGCCTCCTCTGTCATTTCCCACTGCTCCTCACAGGGTCCTTCTCTCTGACTTCTGGAGGCCACTCTGCCTCTTAGCTCTGTGTCTGGTCTCATTTGGGGCATCTGAATGTTGTGAGGGCTGCCATGTTGTGCAAAGTATGTTCTGTTCCATTGTCGTACAGTGTTCTATCATATGAATATACCACAAATTATTTTCCATTCTTGTTAATACCTGGTTGTCCCCATTTTGGGATTGTTGTGACTGTTTCTCTTCCTCACAGAGAATGCATTTCTGATGGTGTGTTTCTGCAAGTGGAGTTGATGTGTGAATGTCTAGGCAAGAAGTAAGGAATGGAGGCTTGAGGGTATCAGGAAGCATTCTGTATGGCATCTTGAGTTTAAGGGGCTGGTGGCTAACTGGGTTGCCTCTCAGGCCTCTGAGAAAAGCCCAAAGAATGGGTTCAGCCTGCTAGGGAGAGCTGAGGGTCACGGTGTGCCCTTCTGTCCATGGTTGGCACAACGTTGGCCCTCTGCTGTCCTGAGGAGGCAACTGATTTTCCTACCATGGATTTTAGGGTGGATTAGCTATTGTTAGGTGGCCTTAGGCTCACTTTTTTGCCTGTCAGATGTCCTCCGTGACTTTCAGGGCCCCTCTGGTCTCCATGGTGGTACAAAGTTTCTGTCTTCTTTCCTTTTCTAGTGAGGACTGGCATTCTACAGTCCCACTTAGGCAGAAGGCAGGCAGGAAGAATTGGTCAGGCCTGGGTTGAAATACTTGTACTCCTGCAAGATTGCAGCCTTGGGTGAGGTCTTTAAGCCTCTGAGCTGCAGGCTCTCATCTCTGTAAGGTGTTGTGACTTTGGAGATGATGGAATTGGTACTGTACAGGTAGTCAGCAGCATCTCCATATTTTCCTTCTCAGGTCAGAACAGGTGGTCCTAAGATGTTGTGTTCATTGTTCCAGGTCATGGGACCAGGACTGAGTACAAGGAGTTGTCTTCAAGGGAGATGCTTGATGGGGAAGAACTGGATCAACTCCAGAGGGCTGTTCCCCAGGGACCTGATCCTGGAGAGACCCATGCATGTGTCTGGGAGCCAGAGGAGAGCCTGGACAAGCTTGTGGAGCAGAGAGGCCTGAGGCCAGTCACATTGACCACTGAGGATAGTGTCCAGGGGTCTGGGGGAAGCCTCAGGTTTCGGTCAAGCCCTGTCTCTGATCAGAGACCTCACAAATGCGATATATGTGAACAAAGTTTCGAACAGAGATCATACCTTAATAACCATAAGCGAGTACACAGGTCAAAAAAGACAAATATAGTCCATGATTCTGGGGAATTCTTCAGTGCAAATTTAGTTGTTAAAGATGATCAGAAAATTCCTCTTGGGAAAAAATTTCATTATTGTGGTTACTGTGGGAAAGCCTTCAGGTACAGTGCTAACCTTGTCAAACACCAGCGGCTTCATAGTGAAGAGAAGCCCTACAAGTGTGACGAGTGTGGGAAAGCCTTCAGCCAGAGCTGTGAGTTCATCAATCACCGAAGGATGCACTCAGGGGAGATCCCCTACCGATGCGGTGAGTGCGGGAAGACATTCAATCAGAGGCCTAACCTCATGAAACATCAGAGGATTCACACAGGGGAGAAGCCCTATAAGTGTGGTGATTGTGGGAAACACTTCAGTGCCTATTCGTCCCTTATTTATCACCAGAGAATCCACACTGGAGAGAAACCCTATAAGTGCAACGACTGTGGGAAAGCCTTTAGTGACGGCTCAATCCTTATTCGACATCGTCGGACCCACACTGGGGAGAAACCATTTGAGTGTAAAGAATGTGGCAAAGGCTTTACCCAAAGTTCTAACCTTATCCAACATCAAAGAATTCACACTGGGGAGAAACCCTATAAATGTAATGAATGTGAGAAAGCCTTCATCCAAAAAACCAAACTTGTTGAACATCAGAGAAGCCACACTGGAGAGAAGCCCTATGAATGTAATGACTGTGGCAAAGTCTTCAGCCAGAGCACACACCTTATCCAGCATCAGAGGATCCACACAGGAGAGAAGCCGTACAAGTGTAGTGAGTGTGGGAAAGCCTTCCACAACAGTTCCAGACTCATCCACCACCAAAGGTCGCACCATGGAGAGAAGCCTTACAAATGCAGCGATTGCAAGAAAGCCTTTAGCCAGGGTACTTATCTCATCCAGCACCGGAGGATCCACACTGGAGAGAAGCCCTACAAGTGTAGCAAGTGTGGGAAGGCCTTCCGGCACAGTTCCAACATGTGCCAACATCAGAGGATTCACCTCCGGGAAGACTTCTCGAGGTGACCGTGGAGAAGGGCCCATGAGTTCCGCTGTGCAGTTCCTCCTTATGACCTACCCCACCCATTTATTTATTGTCCACACAGTGTTGTTACAGATGAAGGGCATTTCTAATTAAAAACAAACAAACAAAACCCTTTTCTTAAACCAAAAGCAGTGCATGTTCATTTTGGAGAAATTGAGAGAGGTAAGCAAAAAGTAGTTCTCCCCCACTTAGAAAAAGAATCCATCACTGCTGATTTAATACATGCTTCCTTTCACACATAGTTAAGAGCATTTTAAAAAGAAACTACTGTGTGCTTGTCATTGCAGGACGTAGGCTCTTTTGGCTTTGCTATTTCCTCAATCCTAGAAAACTCACACTGGAAAGAATTCTACATATTTACATATCTTTACATATTGTAAATTTAAAAAATTAACAGTCATACTTTTCTGTGTGTCTTTATAATAGAGTTGATAATTGCCATTTTTATTGTGGTAAAACATAACAAAATTTACTATTTTAACCATTTTTAGGTGTATAGTTCAGTGGCATTAAATACATTTACAGTGTTGTATAACCATCACCACTCTTTTATTATCTGAAACAGAAAATCTGTACCCATTAAACAATAACTCTTCTTTTCCCCTTTGTCTCACATCCGCTGACAGTCGCTGTTCTATTTTCTGTCTGTGAATTTGCCTATTCTAGTTTTCTCATAAGAGGAATAATACAATATTTGCCCTTTATAGCTGACTTATTTCACTTTGCATAATGTTCTCAAGGTTCATCCATTTTGTAGCCTGTATCAGAATGTCGTTCTTTTTTATGGCTGAAAGAAATGACCTTGTTTGTAGATACCATGTTTTGTTTATCCACTCATCTGTTGATGGACACTTGGGTGTTTCTGCTTTTTGGCTGTTGTGCATACTGCTGCTATGAGTGGGTGTGCAAGTAGCTTTTTGGATCCTTTTTGGGGTGGTGGGAGAGAGAGTGCATGAGCAGGTGGTTGGGGACCTAGTGGCAGAGGGAGAGGGAGAGAGAGAATCTTAAGCAGGCTCCACATCCAGCACAGAGTCCGATGTGGGGCTCAATCTCACGACCCCAGGATCATGATCTGAGCTGAAATCAACAGTTGGGTGTTTAACCAACTGAGCCACCCAGATGTCCCTTGGATCCTTACTTTCAGTACTTCTGGGTGTACTTCTGGGAGTGAAATTGCTGGGTCATATGGTAACTCTATGTTTAACTTTTTGAGGAATAGCCAAACTTTTCCAAAGTGGCTGTACCATTTTACATCCCCACCAGCAATGAATAGAGGGTTCTAATTTCCTTGCCAACACTTGTTATTTCCCATTAAAAAAAAAATAATGTCATTTTAATGGGTGTGAAGTGGTATCTCATTGTGGTTTTGGTTTGCATTTCCCTGATGACTAATGATGTTGAACAGCTTTTCAGGCACTTATTGACCATCTGTATGTCTTCTTCAGAAAAATGTCTGTCCAGATCCTTTGCCCATTTTTGAATTGGGTTCTTTGTTTTTTTGTTTTTGGTTATTTTTTTAAGTGTTGAGGTATAGGAGTTCTTTGTATATTTTGCATAGTAATCTCTTATCAGATACACGATTTGCAAATATTTGCTCTCATTCTGTGAATTCTTTCTACTCTCTCGTTTGTGTCCTTTGATGCACAAAAGGCTATTTTAAGCTAATTTTTATATATTGTATAAGGTGAGGGTCCAACTTCTTTTGCACCCAATTTTCCCTACAACATTTTTTGAAAAGACTGTTCTCCCCATTGAATAGTATAGGCATACCTCAAAGATATTGTGTGTTCAGTTTCAGATCACTGTGATACAGCAGATATCTCAGTAAAGCAAAGTTATGTTTACATTACAGTGTACTAAGTGTGCAATAGCATTATGTCTAAGAAAACTGTATAAACCTTAATTTAAACACATTATTTCTAAAAAATGCTATCATCTGAGCTTTCAGCAAGTCATAATCACTGATCACAGATTCCCATAACAAATATAATAATGAAAAAGTTTGAAGTATTCAGAGTATTACCAAAATGTGACAGACACAAAGTGAATAAAAGCTGGTGGAAAAATAGTGCCAATAGACTTGCTCACCATGGGATTACCACACATCTTCACTATGTAAGAAACACAATAAAGCAAAGCACAGTAAAACGAGGTATGCCTGTATTGGCTCGGGCTGCCAAAAACAAACAAAAAACCACAGACCTGGTGGCTTAAAAAACAAATTTATCAAAAGAAACAAATCTGTCTCTCATAGTTCTGAAAACTAAGTCCAAGATCAAGGTGTAGGCTGATTCAGCCCTAGTGAGGGTTCTCTTCCTGGCTGAAATACAGCTGCCTTCTCACTGAGTCATCACATGGTAAGATCTCAGATGTCTCTAACTTTTATAAGGGCACTAGCTCTATCAGATTAGGGCCCCACCTTTATGATCTCATTTAACCTTTATCAACAGTTGACAGGCCCTATCTCCAAATACAGTCACATTGGGTTAGAGTTTCAACATAGTGAATGGTGGGGTGTGTGTGTGTGTGTGTGTGTGTGTGTGTGTGTGTGTGTTTGGGGGGGGACTATAAACAGTTCATAAATGGTCTTGGCACCCTTGTCTAAAATCAATTGACCATATATGTAGGGGTTTCTTTTTGGGTTCTATTCTATTCATGTATATGCCTATCCTTATGTTACCACCATACTGTCACTTATTGTAGTTTTATAGGAGGTTTAGAAATCAGGAAGGGAGTCCTTCAACTTTGTACTTACTCAAGATTATTTTGGCTATTTGGGATCCCTATCTGGGATTCCATATGAATTTTAGGATGGGATTTTCTGTTTCTGTAAAATCACAGCTTTTGATAGGGATTGCATTGGATCTATAGATCAGTTATGATGGTATTGTCATATAAATCTTATCAAGTCTTCATGAGTATGGGATGTATGTTCATTTATTTATATGTTCTTTAATAGTGATCATTTCTGGTTTTCAGTGTACAAGTTCTTTGCCTCCTTGGTTAAATTTATTCCTAAGTATTTTATTTACTGAAATACTATTGTGAATGGAATTGTTTTCTTAATTTCTTTTTTTTTTTTTTTTTGGATTATTTATTTTTAATGCATAGAAATGCAACTGATTTTTATGTCTTGATTTTGTATACTGCTAGTTTGCTGAGTGAGTTACTTTGTTCCTACGATTTTGTTTTGCTTGTTTTTTGTTTTGTTTTGTTTTTTGGTGTGTGCACTCTTTAGGGTTTCCTCATGTAAGATCATGTCATCTGTGAACAGAGATAGTTTTACTTCTTTTCCAACTTGGGTGCCTTGTATTTATTTTCCTTGCCTAATTGCTTTGGCTAGAATTCCTAGTACTTTGTTGAGTAGACGTAGCAAAAGTGAGCATCCTTTACTTGTTCCTGATCTTAAAGCCTTCAGTCTTTACCATTATGTATCACATTAGGTTTCTCTATATAATTTTCATTATGCTGAGGAAGTTTCCTTTTATTTCTAGTTTATTGAGTGCTTTTATCAAGAAACCATGAAGTTGTTTTGTTTTGCTTTGTTTTAAAAGATTTTATTTATTTGTTAGAGAAAAAGAGCACAAGCAGGGGGAGCAGCAGGCAGAGGGAGAAGCAGCCTCCCTGCTGAGCAAGGAGCCCGATGCAGGACTCAATCCTAGGACCCTGGGATCATGACCTGAGCCCAAGGCAGACGCTTCACCAACTGAGCCACCCAGGCGTCCTAAGAAACCAAAGTTTTGTCAAAAGCTTTTTTTGGAGGCGCCTGGGTGGCTCAGTCGTTAAGTGTCTGCCTTCGGCTCAGGTCATGATCCCAGGGTCCTGGGATCGAGCCCCGCATCGGGCTCCCTGCTCCGCGGGAAGCCTGCTTCTCCCTCTCCCACTCCCTCTGCTTGTGTTCCCTCTCTCGCTGTGTCTCTCTGTGAAATAAATAAAATCTTTAAAAAAAAAAAAAGCTTTTTTGTATCACTTGAAAAGATCAAATGGGTTTTTTTCTTCATTCTTTGTTGGGAGGTTTTTGGTAATTGATTTAGTCTTCTTACTAGTTATTAATCTATTCAGATTTTCTCCTTAATGAGTCTCTGGTAGATTGTGTGTTTTTAGGAATTTGTCCATTTCATCAAGGTTATCTAATTTGTTGGCATACAGTTCATAGTATTCTCATATAATCCTTTTTATTTCTGTAAGGCTGGTCACAATGGCCCCACATTCATTTCTGGTTTTTAATAATTTGAATTTTCTCTACTTATTTAGCCTAAAAGTTTGTCAATATTGTTGATCTTTTCAATGAGCTAACTTGAAGTTTTGTTGATTTTCTCTATATTTTCTAGCTCATTATTTCATCTCTGATCTTTACTATTAATCTTCTATCTATTATCTTGTGTTTAGATTGCTTTTTTTCCTGGTTTATTTTTTCACTCTCTTTCTTCCTTTTTTTTTTTTTTTTTTTTTTTGATAGAGTGATCGTGTGTGTGTGTGGTGGTGGGGAGGGACAGAGGGAGAGGGAGAGAGGAATCTTAAGCAGACTCCACACTCGGTGTGGAGCCCAACATGGGGCTTGATCTTACAACCCTGAGATCATTATCTGAGCCAAAATCAAGAGTTGGATGCTTAACTAACTGAGCCACTCAGGCACTCTTTTCTTTGAAGTATACAGTTAGGTTATTGATTGAGAACTTTTAAAGATTAATTAATTATTATTATTTTTTAAATAGGCTCCCCATCCAGCATGGAGCCAAGTGTAGGAGCTTGAACTCAGGACCTTGAGATCAAGACCTGAGCTGAGATCAAGAGTTGGACACTTAGCTGACTGAGCCACCCAGGTGCCCTGAGAAATTTTTTTTTTAATGTATGCTTTTATTTATTATTTTTTAAACATTTTATTTATTTGAGAGCAAGCAAGAGCGAGAGAGTTCACAGATGGAGAGGAAGAGGGAGAAGCAGACTCATCGCTGAGCAGAGAGCCCAAAGTGGAACTCGATCCTAGGACATGAGTCGAAGGCAGATGCTTAACCAACTGAGCCACCCAGGCATCCCTTAATGTATGCTTTTAAAGCTATAGATTTCCTGGGGCGCCTGAGTGGCTCAGTCATTAAGTGTCTGCCTTCAGCTCAGGTCATGATCCCAGGGTCCCGGGATCGAGCCCCACATTGGGCTCCCTGCTCGGCGGGAAGCCTGCTTCTCCCTCTCCCACTCCCTCTGCTTGTGTTCCTGCTCTTGCTGTCTCTCTCTTTGTCAAATAAATAAATAAAATCTTAAAAAAAATAAAGCTATGGATTTCCTTCTCTGCATTGTTTTCACAACATCCTATAAGCTTTGGTGTGTTGTGTTTTTGTTTTCATTTGTCACTGGGTATTTTCTACATTCCCTTGTAATTTCTTCTTTGGCCCATTTGTTGTTTAAGAGTTTGGCTTAATTTTCCAGTTTTTCTTCTGTAATTGATTTCTAATTTTATTGTATTGTGATTGAAAAGTTTTTATGATTTTAATTTTTAAAAATATATTACAAGGGCACCTGGGTGGCTCAGTTGGTTAAGTGTCTCTCTCTTTTTTAAAGGTTTTATTTATTTAAGAGCAAGAGAGAGTGAGAGCATGAGTGGGAGAGGGAGAGGCAGACTCCCCACTGAGCCGGGAGTCCTGATGTGGAGCTCTATCCCAGGACCCTGAGACCATGACCTGTGCTGAAGGCGGACGTTTA